CGAGCCCAGTGTGGGAAAGAGATTGAGCCCTGTGTGGGAGAGAGATCGAGCTTAGTGCGGGGGAGAGATTGAGCCCAGTGCGAACAGAGATCAAGCCCAGTGTGGGAGAGAGCTTGAGTCCAGTGTGGGAGAGAGATCGAACCCAGTGCGGGAGAGAGATCGAGCCCTCCTGGGGAAAACTCAGCATGGAGCGACTGCAGGCCCATGGCCAAAGAAGGACTTTAATTTGGAACTTTTAACTTCATTTCTTATTTACTACTTTATACTGAGATGAATTGTAATGCTGAACTTTCAACTTATTTCTTTTTCCACTTCTTACTGAAGATTTTGTACCTAGGTACCTTGCACGTAAGATGGTGTTACGAATGGCAACATTATAAACTTTTCACTGTACTCCTGTACCCCTATACTTGAGTACATGTGACAATAAAACCTCATTCTAAACACCCAAGTCAATTGAATGCTCAAAGTGTTTACAAAACATGTTTTCCTTCCTCAGCCTTTTAATTTCCCATTGTCTGTAATATCTCGTCATTATCTCTACAAGCTGAACTCCACCAGGAAATGAATATAGCTGTGATACTTGGGGATACTCGTCAACCAGCTCTGTCATGATTTTAGAAAGAATTGAAGTAAAGTCTTGGCTGCTATTGGATGCACATTATTTTTTAACCACTGAACTCTAATTTATTCCCTTCATTTTAAAGAGTCTTATATATCTGATACAGATTATGCTCCTGTTCTGATATTACAAATTTTACACAATGTTCCAGCGCACTTACAGCCATACCTTATGCACTTCCTTTCAAACAACTAAATCCAATAAGAAAATTAAAACAACCCGAACTGAATATCCTTGTGATCAGATTTGTGCCTGTCATACTAGTCATGGTATGAAGTGTTGGGCTGAGGTGGACAAAGTCAGAAGTTTCACAACACTAGGTTATAGTCCAAGAGGTTTATTTAAAATCACAAGCTTTCGGTGTGCTGCTGCTTCAGCAGATTAAATGTTCTTCTGCTGAAGGAGCATCGCTCCAAAAGCTTGTGATTTTAAATAAACCTGTTGGACTTTTTTTTTTCATATAATCCCTACAGTGTGGAAACAGGCCCTTTGGCCCAACAAATCCACACTGAACCACAAAGCACCCCACCCAGACCCATTCCCCTATTACCCACCTAATCTACACATCCCTGAACATTGGGGGCAATTTAGCATAGCCAATCCACCTAGCCTGCACATCTTTGGACTGTGGTAGGAAACTGGAGCACCTGAAGGAAACCCACACAGACATGGACAGAATGTGCAAACTCCACACAAACAGCTGCCTGAGGGTGGAACTGAACTCAGGTCCCTGGTGCTGTGAGGCTGCAGTGCTAACCACTGAGTCCCCGTGTCACCCTAAGTAGTATATAACCTGGTGTCATGAGACTTCAGACTTTGTCATATTAGTCACCACTTGTTTCTGTGTAGTGAACGGAGATGCAGTCAAACAAATAAAAATGAAAATCTAATCTGTCCAATAATGAGGAGTCAAAAACTAGTTTAAATGGAAGTCTACAGGCAGAGATACAGACCAAGAAAACCTTCCACATCAAACAGATGTTCACCTGCACATCTGTTAATGTGGTATACTGTATCCGCTGTTCCCGATGTGGCCTCCTCTACATTGGGGAAACCAAGCGGAGACTTGGGGGCCGCTTTGCGGAACACCTACACTCGGTTCGCGACAAACGTCTGCACCTCCCAGTCGTGAACCACTTCAACTCCCCCTCCCACTCCTTGGACAACATGTCCATCCTGGGCCTCCTTCAGTGCCACAACGCTGCCACCCGAAGGTTATAGGAACAGCACCTCATATTTCGCTTGGGAACTCTGCAGCCCAATGGTATCAATGTGGATCTCACAAGCTTCAAAATCTCCCCTCCCCCTACCGCATCCCAAAACCAGCCCAGCTTTTCCCCACCTCCCTAACCTGTCCATCCTTTCTCCCACCTCAACTCCAACCCCCACCCCCATCTCCTACCTACCAGCCTCGTTCCCGCCTCCTTGACCTGTCTGTCTTCCCTGGACTGACCTATCCCCTCCCTAACTCCCCACCTACACTCACCTTTACTGGCTCCATCCCCACCTCTTTGACCTATCTGTCTCCTCTCCACCTATCTTCTCCTCTATCCATCTTCTATCTGCCTCCCCTCTGTCTCTATTTATTTCAGAATCCCCTTCCCCTCCCCCATTTCTGAAGAAGGGTCCAGACCTGAAACGTCAGCTTTCCTGCTCTTCTGATGCTGCTTGGCTTGCTGTGTTCATCCAGCTCTACACCTTGTTTTATCAGAGATACAGATTTTTTTTTTGTCTGTTAATACTGGTATAGCATTGTTGCAGTAATTAAAGATTTGAACCATCACTGGTTATGGACCCTTTTATGAGTGAACAATGTCAAATGTAGTGGTAGGCGAAAGGTATCACTTTACTTCCAGAGGAGCTGTGATGTCATGGTGATGACAAGGATACACAATTTTTGGATACACTGGAGACTTCACATTGAATATGCAAAATTAGATTCTGCTGAACGTCAACCATTTATAGAGTCATACAGTCATACAGCATGAAAAAAGACTCTCCTCTTCAACCAGTGCACGCTGACATTAATCCCAAGCTAAACTAGTCTCACCTGCCTGTGTTGTGGCCTATTTCCCTCCTATTCATGAACGTACCCAAATATCTTTTAAACATTGTAACTGTACCTGCATTCAACACTTGCACTAGCACTTCATCCCAAACATGAACCACTCTCTGTGTAACAAAGTTACCCCTCATGTCCTTTTTAAAATCTTTCTCCTCTCACTTTAAAAGTATACCCCCTTGTTTTGGACTCCCCTACCCTAGGGAAAACACCCTTGTCATTCATCTTATCTACACCCCTCATGATTTTATAAACCTCAATAATATCACCCTTAAAACCCCTAAGCTCCAGAGGAAAAAGTCCCAGTCTTTCCAATCTATTTTTATATGTCAAACCCTCTATTCCTGGCAACATCATGGTAAATCTTTTCTGAACCTTTTCCAGTTTAATAATATGCTTCTTCTTAGTATTTGACTTGAGACAAAGTATTAGTGAGCTCAAGGATTTTTTTACATGCTCAGGAGATTGTTTTCTTCTTTTCAGAATGCTGTTAACAGCAAGATAAATTACAACGTCTGCCAATGAAGAATCCTAATACAAGATACAAGAGTATGCAATCTATTGAATTATTGTTGACTTTGATGCACTTCAGCTACTGGAAGTACAAATCAGAGATTCTGCCTGGAAGTTTGTTGCCCATCATTTGCAACAGCTAAAATTTTTAGCAGTGTGCCTTGAGTTTGTTTGAGGAGACAAACTAACAGTGTGGATTCAAAATGTTCACTCTGCTTTCTTCCCACAGATGCTGCCAGACCTGTTGAGATTTGTTAGAAATTTCTGTTGTTGCTGTAGGAGAATAGTAGGACCCATTCGGGACCATAAATGTAATCTATGTGTGGACCTGGAAGATATGGAATACTGTTCTCAATGAATACTTTGTGTAGGTCTTCACCATAGTAAAGGATGACACATCAAGGTGGAGGACTATGAAATATTCGAAGAAATTAACATCTGTAGAGAAGAGGTACAGGTAGGTTTCACAGCCTTAAAACTGTATATATGTACAGGCCCCATTGAGGGAGGTAAAGGAGGAGATATCAACAATTCTGGCAACAATTTTCAAATCGTCTCTAGGTACAAGAGAGGTGACAGAGAACTGAAGGACTGCTAATGTTGTTCCATTATTAAAACCAGGAGGAAGGGATAGACGAGACAATTACAGGCTAATCACTCTAACATTGATGTTAGGGAAGACATCAAAAAGAATAATGAGGGATATAATATACCTGTACTTGGAGAGACATGGATTTTTGTGGCTGGTTGGCTCGCCAAGCTGGCTCGTTGTTTCACAGACTTTTCATTACCCTGCTGGGTAACATCATCAATGCAGCCTCCAATGAAGCGCTGTTGTGTTTTCCCACCTGGTGTTTAAACTCTGTTGTCCGTTGAGCTGGATTACCTCACTTCCAGTTTCCCTTTGCAGTGTTGTATATATAGGGTCTAGCTCTATGTGTTTGTTGATGGTCTTCTTAGTGTAGAACCAGGCCTCTAGGAATTCCCGTGCTTGTCTCTGCTTGGCCTGTCCCAAGATCAGGACAACAGCGCTTCATCAGAGGCTGTACTAATGGTGTTACCCAGCAGGGTAATGAAACGTTTGTGGAACAACGAACCAGCTCGGCGAGCGAACCAACCACTACATCCACAACCCGAGTTACAAATCTACTCTAAAACCTTAGAGGCATGGATTTATTAAGGATAGTCAGCATGGATTTGTTAAGGGAAGGTCATGTGTGACCAATTCAATTAAATTTTTTGAGGGGGCCACCAGGACTGTTGATGAGGCTAATTCACAATTGCTGTAGTCTACATAGATCCAAACTTGGCTGGGAGGCAGAAAACAGAGGATGATGGTTGAGGGATGGTTCTGTGACTGGAATTATGTTTCCAGTGGGGTTCTGCAGGGCTCAGTGTCGGTGCCCTTGCTGTTTGTGATGTACGCTAACGATTTGGACTTAAATGTGAAGAATATGATAAACAGACTTGTGGATGTCACAAAAAAGTGGTAAGATGATAAATTTTGAGGAAAAACGGCAGGAGCACATCAATAGACTGATCAGACGGGCAGAGCACTGGCAAATGGAAGTTAATCCAGAAATGTGTGAGGTAATGCACTTGGGAAGAAAAGGCAACGGATTACACTGTGAATGGTAGGATTTTAAATGTAATGAAGATCTAAGGACATAGTGCACCACAGACCTTTGAAAATAGCAGGGCAGTTAGGTAAGTTTTTAAGAAAGCATATGTGATTTTTGCCTTTGTTAGCTGAGCTAGAGAATACAAGGTCAAAGAGATTATGTTGACACAGTATAAAATGTTAGTTATTCAGCTCAATGCTTGCTCCAAAGGAGCTCCATGTCGAACACCACGCATCAACACCTCATGGCATAGTCCACGGGCACTGGCCACACCTATCCCATGTCTACAGAAATTGGCATCTGATATGTACCAGCTTCTAAGAACCCTCATGGCACATCTCCATTTACAACACACTCCTTCAATTCAATGCTGCAGTTAGGGCTATACCAGCAAGTATCATTGTAATCCTGCAGCAAGGATTAGGGATATGCTCAGGGACATGCACCCAGCTCCTGGGATAGACCAGCATCAACATCTGGGCTCTTTGCTTGCTGTCACGGAGCTCACTCTGAGACTTACCTGGATGCTCACACTATTCCTGTCTTACCTTTCATTGGATTTTATCACTTTACCCCCTCAACCAGAGATATCTATCAGGCTCATATTACTTCTGTCTTTCTTTGGAATTTAGTATGGACACATAGGAAGAAAACCTGCCTTGGTTCTCAACAGGCCGATGTCAAGATAAGCAGAGTAGCTTTTGACAAGGAGCTCCTGACGCAGTAAGCTATGGGCAGCCCCGGTACCAATCCAGGGGGTTTCAAAATGGAAAGCCAGCACTTGGCACAGAGTCAGGATGCTGTCTACATAAGGGGTCAAGAGCTGAATGTTGGACATGCCACTATCCACCTGGAGTCTTTCTGCCTTATAGTGGCTGCTTTCTTCCTGGACTATGAGGGAGATGCCCAGCAGCACCTCCATGTCCATGCCCTGTCACAAAGTGATGCCCTGTATTCCACGTCAGGGGCCAATTTCAGGATGCCAGCAGGTTAGCTCCGGAGTGACAGTGTTCATCTGGGTACACAACAGGCTTTTAAAGATGGCACAAGCACTAGGGAATGTGGTGAATTCCAGGATGACTGCTGAGTAGCAAGCCGTTCTGAAAATGCTATGTGGCAAAATAGTGCTGGAATCAGATATGACGGGGTCAACGTTAATGAGATGGGTTTGGTAGGATATGGTGACAGAACTCATTAGACCTAATAGTGAAACCCTTCCAAAAACCTGTGCACCTGGAACTTAATGTCTGAGACATCAATGGAAGATATTCCCCACTCCTATCAGTGAACATTAACAGCCCCTGTTTAATAGATACTCTATACACAGGAGATGGGAGGAGAGGATATTTCCTGAACCTTACACACTTGACTCCCAGTTCTATGTGATTTGACGTCACCATGTCATAGCTCCTTAAGCACATGCTTAGTTGCAATAATTCCTCCACACACCCTAACTTGGAAATAGATTGTTTCCTCTTCAGTTATCACTGGGTCAATTCCCAGAACAGCCTTCCTAACTATGGAGTAAATAAACTACCATTTTCTTAAAAACAGGCGGGGAGAGACTTTGTCTTTGTTGCAATTGTACCAGCCTCCATCACTTCCTCTGGTAGCTCATTCCATACACGTGCCACCCTCTGCATAAAATGTTGCTCCTTTGGTCCCTTTTAAATCTTACCCTTTTCATCTTAAATCTGCAGCCTCTAGTTTTGGATTCCCCTACCTTCGGGAAAAGACCTTGTCTATTCACCCTATCCATGCCCTTCGTGATCTTATAAGGTCACCCCTCAGCCTCCGATGCTCCAGGGAAAATAGTCCCAGCCTAATCAGTCTCTCCCTGTACCTCACACTCCCGAACCCTGGCCACATCGTTGTAAATCTTTTCTGAACCCTTTCAAGTTTAATAAAATCCTTCCCATAACAGGAAGACCAGGGTTTCATCATTCCAAGTTCCATGATATATTGTAACTTCTCTGATAGATCATCTCATGAGTTCAAATATCGCCAGGTCATATTTTAAATCTTAGCATCAGTGGAATGAAACATGCATAAACGTTTGTTTCTTGAAGATATGAAATATTGTAACCAATTTATTTCATGAGGACTGCTATAGTTGATTGGTTTTAAATCACTGTAAACTCCCTACAAGGTATTCCACTCACAGAGTTCTTTTGTTTCATTTTTGATGAGGCGTTAGTTCAGCAAGAAATATTTTTATTCGTAAAGAAAATTGCTGGCAATATATCTCTGTCTGGAAGTGAACTGTGTCTGGTGACTCAGCAAACTCCCTTATGTAGGATGAGTGACAGCAAATAAGCACTACACTACTGTTTAAATAAGTATCAGCTCAGCTGTCAACTACCCTTCTTGATCCTTCGCTGGAAATTATATAGTCTGGTTCTTACTTGAAACGTGGCTACAGCACCCTCTGAAAAAGCTGCAAATAGAATGGTTGCATTTCTGAGTGAGTGAGGAAGAGCATGCTCTATATTTCCCTTTGTGCTGTTGCTCAGATGTCAATCAGAGTTCATTCTCTCTGTGTTTGGAATGTAGGCCATTAGGCAACATTTATTTTACCTTGAATCTGCCCTCCCTCTCTACACTACTTTCCATTTAATTTGTAACTGACAATTTTAATTTTAAGTAAGCTATTCCAAAAATTAAATCGTCGATAACAAGATGTGCACAGCACTGACAGTGCTCCCCACTGTAGTCACTGCTCAGAGATCAGCAAGACTGGTGGTTGGAGATGTATCAATCTTTTGAATATTCTCAATTCTGTTGCCTAGTTCTTGCTCAGTCCTAAACACACTGTGCAAATTCCCAGCCTCGCAAATTTCAGATTGTTTTATGCAAAAAAAAAGTCGGCAGTGAAGACTTAGACACCAACTCAAATGGAAAATTGACTGTATTGCTTGAGTTACTATTCAGATTAGACACAAAATACTCTTTCGTTTAGCTATTCCCCTTGCAGCTTCACGACAGTTTATTTGAACTCAAGATGAGACTAAAGCCTCTCTAACTATTTTAAACATTGTTTTGCCACATATTCCAAACTTATTCCCTGTCTATATGTGTCAAAAAAATTCCGTGCCACCTCAGTGTTGCATAATTTCGTTTAATGAGCAGGTTTTATTTGAACTTGCTGCCTCTCTTATGGAATTGTCCATTCTATCATCAGTAAAGTGTGATTAGGGAAGCATTACATGAAAAAAGACACACTTTCAGTCATTTATCAGGGCTTTGAACTGAACTATTTAGCAATTAAGGAAATACAATGAGGTGCTGGGGAGATGAATAAAGAAGATTTTATTTTAATATTGTTTTTGTAGTGATTGTAACGAGGTCAGCCAGGTTGACCTCATCGAATATGAATTCCCTGATTAGGGTGGTTAATGTAGTCCAATTAGGGAACCCTGGCTGGCAGATAAGAACAGGAGTGTCAGAGGTTTTGTTCACTCTGAGAGAGCTGGATCAGTGTCAAGGACTCTCCATGTATAAATAAAGGGTGATTTGGTGGCCAGCCTCCCTTAGAGTTATTTCGATGGCAATGTGAGAAAAACATGCTCCTGAAGAAATTCACTTGCAGTAGTCATCTTTGAGTTGGAGTACGCACTTCTGTCATCATGCTGTTATTTGGAAAGTTTGATTTGTTTGATCCTGCTATCAAAGACTGGGCCCAGTATGTGGAAAGAATGTGTTATTTTTTTCCAGACAAATGACCTTGGGGCAGATGAAAAGCAATGAGTAATTCTCCTGACAGCTTGTGGATCCGCAGCTTTTTCAGTTATTAGGAGCCTGTCTTTCCTTGAGGCACCAGATACTAAAACCTTTCAAGAGTTGATGGATTTAGTTAAGGCATATGACGACCACAAGCCTCCTCTAATTCTGACACATTATCAGTTTTACACAGCAATTCAAGAACCAGGGGAATCCATATCAGGATTTTTGACTAGGTTAAGGTGATTGGCAGAAGCACATGACTTTGTTTTAACCCTTAGAAGCTCAGAGACCGGTTGGTATGTGGTATTAATGATGTAACCAAGTAAAACCACCGACTAACTGAAGCTCAACTGGACTTCAAACAGGCACTACAACTGGCTTTATCATTGGGAAATGGGGCATGTGGAGTATATGAGTTGCAGGTTATACTGATGGAAGTGGGCAC